TGCCCCGGGCCTCCTCCCCTGACCGGGTCCTTGCCCGCAGGAGCCCCGGCAGCAGCCCCTGTACCAGCAGTCGCCCTACGGACCCTGCCACTATGAGATGAAGCAGTTCCTGGAATGCGCTACCAACCAGAGCGACCTGACCTTGTGCGAGGGCTTCAGCGAGGCTCTGAAGCAGTGCAAGCACAGCAATGGTGGGTCTGCGCCCTGTCCCTGCAGCGGGGCTGGGCAGCGAGGGAGCTGCTGCCTGGAGAATACCCGAGAGGGTTCAAAGGTTGCAGAAGCAATCTGCTGAGGTTACAGTGCCCTTCAGGGCTTTAAATAGGGAGCAGTTCTGCCTTTCCTGTGTCCTGGAATGCAGAAGGGAACTGGCAAGGGCAGGAGACATGATCATGCCCCTGTGAAGGTGAGGAGGCTGTAGGTGCCCTCTTAGAGGTTCCTCTCTTGCTGCCGTGGGAAGCCTGCTGCTTTCCCTGCTTGATTCCCTAACTCCTGCTGCACCTGTTAAAAGCAGATGTCAGTAGTTGTGTCTTGACCTGGTCACCTTAGGTAAGAGAGCTTTTATTAACTCCAGCTGCTGGAACACGCACCTAATGCTGAACTCGTGCTTTCTCCCTGTAGGTGTTTCTTCTCTCCTGTGAAGAATCTGCCCCCTTGGAGGGAAGAACAGCCTGGTGTAGAGCCTTGCTGCCCGCAGGGAGTGGAAGGATGGACGGACAGGGGATGAGCTGGAGGGAACAGACTGACCAGACAGAAATCTTTTAGTGGTAATTCAGTTCTGGCCCAGTAGGGAAGGAAAGGAACGGTTGGACCTGTGGGACTTTGGAATTCAGATAGCGCTGTATTTACTACAGAGAAATAAAGGAGTTTGTTTGGACCTATCACTTGTCCATGTTCTTTATTTAATTCTCAAGGTAAAATGAAGCTGCTGGAATGTTGACAGTGTCAGCCACTTAAAGGACAAGGCACAAGCGTGTATTTCCTACAAACAGGAGGTGCAGCCTGGCAAGGACTGTGCCTGTGTGACTTGGCAAAAGCAGATCCACAACTGAGCTGAGGCTGGGTTGGCTGCACTCCAGGCAGAGGAGGGGCTGGAGAGAGGTAATCTGAGATGTGTCCTACAGTATTTTCAGTAACAAATTATTTTTCCATACCCTCTTCCTGAAGAGCTGTTCTGACCCTGGAGCTAAGAAAATATGCCCTGTCTGGCTGTGTGACTCGGATGCAGTCGGCTGATCTTACTTAACAGCCTTAGTGGGTTATGCAATGTTCTCAAGGTCACCAGCACCAGGTGAAGTTCAAAGCTGCTTTCCTCTTACAGTCACTATAGCAGAACGGTCTCATCAGTGCTGCCTGCAGGAGACCCTGCTCCTCATGTTGGTGTGAAAGAGAATTCTGAGGCTTCAGCTGGAGTTTTAGGGGCACAGCAGCAAAACCATGACACTTCTCAGATGCTTAACTGCTGAATTTTCATGGCAGAATTAATCTGTTAATCTGCTGACTTCTGGCTGTTGAATATTTGGCAAGTTCTCAGCCCCTTGCCTGGATCTGTGAGGAAATGCAGGTCTAGATGGTAAAAGCTGGCAGCAGATACTGGAGGCTGGTGTTGAAAGTCCTGCCCCTTCTAAATGTCAGGACCTAAATTCTTGGTGGTAGATAATGTCCCGAGCTGTGCCTGGCCTTATCTGGGGTGCCTTGTGCTCTCAGGAGAGACAGCCAAGGGAAAAAGTAGATGCCGGAGACTCAAAGCCCAAGTGCTCTGTGTGCTGCGCTGCCCCAGCGTGAGCAGTGGAGGAACCACTGTAATGAAGTTGTTTTAACTAACTCCCTTTAAGAAATAAATACTAGACTGATGCTGGTGTGTGCTGGTCTGGGTGGAGAAGCTGCTGAGGAGAACCATCAGGAGCACCTGCAGCAGGTGTGTGCTGTCTCCTGACCCATCTTGGCTGAGTGCTAGCAATGCTGCTTCTGGAGTTGTGGAGACTCTGGATGTCTCCTGAACAGCTTTTCCTGGTGACTACAGTGGACGGTCTCTAGAAGGCTACTGCCAGCATGGTGATGGTGTTGAAAGCATACTCATCCAGTGGTGCAGGTGGGTTGAAAGGAGGTACAGTTTCTTGTCACTTGGCAGCGCAGGCTGTGCCATGAGAACACGAGTGGCCCCTTGAAGCAGGAGGCTGCTGCTTGTGCCTGGCTGTGGTGCTGCGCTTGCATGGTTTGTTGGGGTGCAGCTTTGGATGTGGTAGTGTGAACCTCTGAGAGGAGCAGGGGGACCCCAGGAAGAGGAGCTAAGCAGCAGAGGATTCTTGCTGAGCTGGTACGGCATGGTGGTTGAGTCCTGGCAGTGGCTGCGCTGCATTTGTGACCAGTAATGGGTCTGTTCCTCATCTAGGGGTGCCCTTGAACTCTGAGCTCTTCTTGCTCTGTGAGGTGGGCCTGGGCCTAGCTGGGGTGCTGGTGAGGGGCTGAGCCCTCCTCTGCAGGGAGCCCCTCCTCCACTGGTGTCTCATCTGGGCGTTTGCCGAGAGCTGCTGCAGCCGATCTGTGGAGTGATCCCCTCCAGAGTTGAGTGTTTTCCTCCTCTGTTGGTCAGTTGCCCCTTGGCGCATTGAGGGAGGCTATGCCCCCCTGTGAGACCACAGCCTGGGAGGGGGACTTCTGGGTCTCCTGATCGTCCCTGTTGTCCTTCCCTCCCTGTTTGTTCCAAGGAAATGTTCCCTCTTTGCTTTGGAGCCCTCCAAGCTGGGGTGACTTGTGTCTGGGGTGGGAGGGCAGCAGGTGCCTGCTGTCACACTAACTAGGAGGTGTTCTGCAAACCAGCACTGGTTTCTGCTTGTCCCTTCTCTTGCTGCCTGAATTCACTCGTTACCTATGACCATAACCAGTCCTGAAGCTCAGTGTCGTGAGGGGGCATAGTGGAATGCAGGGGACAGTCCCGTGGATGGTGTGCAAGGGCTGTGGTGGGGAGAGGAGTTACGCCTGCGCCCCCGGCTCCTCTGTGGAGGTGAGGTGGGTGCCTGGCTCTTACCTGCTAGGTCAGGGTGGTGTTTCCCCAGGTTCTCTAGCAAGGATTCATAGCAGGTGGCTTCAGAGCTTTCTCCTCCTGCCAGCAGAACAGGGGAAATGGATTAATTGCTCTCCTGGCTGAAAACTGAAGTCAAGACTTGTAACTGGGGCGGGTGGTTCTGCCCAGGAAAGGTTCCTCCTCCCCCAGAGCAGCCACCTCAGGCAAACACAAGGTTCAGCTCTAGCTCTTCATCTGAGCTGGCTTCTGCCTCCTCAGAGCTACTGTGCCACGTCCAAGTGACTGCTGAATAGAGCCCCTCTCCAAAGCTGCATCTTTGTTTCTAGGAGGCGACAGGGTTTTCCTGGTGTGTGGGACAGTTACTTGAAATGGCGTGACACCACCCCCCAGAGCAGACCCTTCTTGGTGCAGAGGCTGAACTGTGCTGTCTTGCCGAGGAACTTACGGATGATTCTGATGAGGATGTAGCGCTCCCTTTCCCGTAGGTATTTACTGGCGAATTCGGATGCAGGGTTTTCCACTTTGCTCAGGTTCATCAGGGTGCCAGTTTCATCCAGAAGATCAATGCAGTCTGGAGGGAGAGAGATATGGTGAAGAAAGTCCAATGTGTCCCTGTGTGGCCAGCATGAGGCTGTGGGGGTTTAGAGGTATTTTCCTTGGCAAGTTACACTTTGAAGAGAATCTGTTGAGGTCTAGAGGGGAGGAAGTTTGCTGCCCGTTTCCCTGTGTTTTGGGATGATCTGGGATTCCCCTGCTACCTGTTACCCTCTCCCACAGGTGAGCGCCGGTCCCTCTGGTGACCGCTGCTCAGGAGCGCTCGTACCGTCAGGCCTGCACTGGCACTTGCTCTTCATGTGAGCCGTGAGGATCAGGACGCGGCACTGCAGGTTCACCATCTCTCGGCAGTTGGCTGCAGACAGGGAATAAGACCTGAGATACGAATGTGGTCACCCTGAATCCAGGGGCCCCATGGACACAGCGGGTGGCTGAGAAGTGCCTGCTGTCGTGGCCAGCAAAGGTAGGATCCCTGTGTGGCCATCAGCAGGGCTTTGAGCTGCTGTATTACAGCCGTGTGCGCTGGCGTTTGGTGCGGGGAATGCTCCAGGGTAGGAGCGGGGATGAACATTTTGATTTGGGGAGAATGGTTCTGATTCATGAAGTGTCCCTGTCCTTCAGCTTCGTTTCATCAAACATAAGCAGGAAAAAGCAGTGGGCCCTGGCTGGTCCCCTTCCACAAACTTGTCCCAGTCACAAGGGGAAAGAGCTGGAGGTTGTGGCTGAGTCACCAGGGGACACTTTGGCCGTGAACTCTTGCCAAGTTTGTCACGATTGAGAAATCCCCAGGGCCGACACACATCAACAGTCAGAGCTGAGGATCCAATGCAAATAGCAGAGGGAGCAAAGGCATAGGACCATGTGTGTCTGGCGGCTTCAGCCGCAAGTGCCTGGGGTCAGGCAAAGGCTCTGGGCCAACTGGGCAAGGCCAGGACAGGATCTGCTTGTTCCCTCCCACCAGCACAGATAGCTGCTCTCCGAAGCCGAGGGCCAGGATTTGAGCCAGGGAACCCTTCCTGCACAGCTGGGAGCAGAGGAGCTCTGCTGGCAGCTGTCACCGCTGCCCCATGGCTCTTCTGGTTGTGCCTAGATAAGCAGAGCTCCCTCCAGTGATTCCCCAGAGCTGCGAGGCTGGGAACTCATCCTTGCCTCTGGCCTCCCTCCCTGCAATTGACTTAGCTCTGCCGGGATGGTTTTCCTCCATGATTCATTGTGTAGGGGCTAAAGATTTCCATTTTTTTTTTAAAATGGATGAGGCCAAGGATGCTGATGTGCCCTGGCAGAGCTCTCCTGCCCTGTTCCACAACCACTGGGCATTGCTGGGCATTAAGGTGCCGTGTCCCTCCCTGCCCCTCATGGGGCCACCACCTGGTGGTGGTGAAGATGGTCCGGGTGACCAGCTGCCCCCCAGGGCTGAAGCAAAACTGGTGCTTTCCCCGTGTACCTCCGTATCTCACTGTGATGAACATGGTGCTTAGCATGCCTCTTCCCAGAGCCGCTCTCCTCCGGCGGGGGCCCGGGCCTGCGATGTGGGGGCTGCTTGTGCCGGGTGCTGTCCTGCAGGCAGTGGGGATGACAAAATGCACAGTGACGATGGTTTTAGCTGCTGGAGAGCCCAGGGGAGGGGCTGTGTTTCCAGCTGATGCTGTTGTGGTTTCAGTAGCCAGATTTCCCAGCAACGGGGAATGGCCCCCGCAGATTCCCGAGCTTTCTGCAGCTGGGGAGTGGGAAAGGGGGGGTAGAGCAGGGGCTGGGCTAAACAACAGCCTGTTGGGAAGGCTGCCTGCTCTGTGTGGTCCCAGCTGCTCTGAATTGCAGACTTTTTGCAGTCTTGTGGTGTTTCCTGCCCCCCCCGCCCCATCTGTCCTGCAGCTTGTCTGGGCTGTGATGGTGCCAGATCTGCCCACCCTGCTCCTAGCTGAGCCCAGCACTGCTGCAAGGGCAGCTGTGGTCTCCCCTGTGAGATGGTCGGCTACCACTGGAAAAACCTTCCCAGGCCCTGCCTGCTCTGGCCCTGCTCTGGAGCACGAAGCAGTGGGGTTTCGCAGCCCGGGGGGAGCT